TGTGCACACTTGAATGTCACTTTGGATTTGTCACAAGTTTGTCATTTGCATTTTGCGTGATGTTTAAATCACCTTTCGATGTCCATCGTGGTCGTTTGTGCACTGATTGAACTGCCATGATATGTTGAATCCTTGCTACATGATTGCATGTGCTTTGTCTTCGTGTCTTGATAAGCAATTAGACTCATTAGGTGAGTGACCCACTGTTGGTCACGACGTGTTAATAAGCATTGCTTGCCGAGTAAATCTCGATGAGCAATGTGAGTTATTTCATCGAGACCAACATACATATGACTATGCTAATGTTCCAAGGGCTTTAGTATATGTCACCTAGCATGTTACGGACCTACATTTAATGATCTTAATTTTAAAAATAAAAAAAATTATTATACTTATTCTAGTTATGATATTCACACTATTTTAAAACTATGCAACTAGCAAAGCTAGGTCATCTGTGAGGCCAACTCTTTTAAGACTTTCCTTGAGTGACATTCATTAGATTCATTGGAACTTTAGGATGGGGTCTATATCGACAACCCCTTCAAAGTCATATAATAGATTTTACCTTGCACTGCACATGCACTTAGATGGTGTGACTAGGACACTATGTAGTGGACGGTGGTCTAGACTAGAACTAGGATGCTTAGATAGTCTTTTTGATGCACTGGTTATATTCTCTATTGTTTTGGGCCCTAACTAAGCATCTTTGCTTGCTACTTTGTGTGTTTACTACGCACTAGTATATTAGAGGAGGTTTTCTTGCAGGAGTCATGCCTAAAAATAAACAAAAAGAGATGAGCAAATAATGATTTAAAAACTAACGCTTTCTATAGGTGATGCTAACGCTCTCATCGTGCCAAGCATGACTCATTCAGTGTTGCATGAACATAACCGGTGCTAACTCTTCTGGAGGTCGAGTTTTTTTTGGAATTTTCTATGTATTTTACCCAGAGTCTTTAGGATCGAGTCTGTATCGGAATAAGGTACGGGCATAGGTTCTGAGGTGCTTGCTCGCTGAAGCACGTGGCAAGGACCAAAAGGTGGTCGTTATTTAAAACTACTGTTCCATATTGCAAATCTAAATGTTATCATAAGCCAAAATATGTCAGGTCATATTTGGTGGCAATCAGCCAACACCTAAAACAAAATAGGGTCCCTCTCCTTTTACATAGAAGAGTTTTTCAATCATAAAATAGTTTAGTTACCAGTTTTCGTTTCAAGACCTTTTTGGGCCCATTTAAAATATCAAGCGACCGGAAAATAAAGGCCCTTTTTAATTTGCAAGAGGAAGCTAGATAAGGCTGAGAAAAAACTTCATTATTCGTGATGCCTATTTAGCACGTGTTCGCTCATCTTGTTAAGTAGCACGTGTTCAATTCATTCATTAAGCAAACCTTTATTCAATTGTGTTTGAATTCTTTTGGTTTAAAATAATTAAATAATCAATATTTATTATAGCTTTGTATATTAATCATTTATGTTATTTTTACATCATTCGAACTAAATTCCTAAAACAAACAAACAAATTTGAATCAAGTTAAAAACAAACATACTATTCATGCACAATTTCAAACACAAACTTATTTTGACAATAACTAAATAAATTCAAAAGAACTGAATGCCAACGAGCATTGAGCTCACATAGATTTGGCTCATTCAAACACCTACATCCAAAGACCACTAATATAAATTAACATTCTGAGCAGCTTTTAATTTTTTTATGAAAGCACCTGTTAACAGAAAAATAACATGTATGCCCTCTGTTAAGACAGAAATTGTCAAGAAAAATTACATTTATACCCTCTAGTTGACAGAAACATTCAATACATTATGATTCATAAGAAAGTTCTTTTAACCCAGTAAAAATTGAGACAATCCTACAAGAAAAATCTTAATTGAAAAAAAAAAGAAAATCAATGTAGCTTTTATGGGCTCCTAAGGGAATGATTTTTTTTCATAAATTAAATTAAAAATTAAACAAAAGGCATCAAAATTACTTTGTAATGAACTGCTTATTGTAAGATAAAAAGTTTAAAATTTTACCAATAATGAAAATTAAAGCACTGGCATTTTTACAGACTAGTTGAGCTTGTAATATTGAAGAACATAAAACATTCAATATATAATGAAAAAAATCATATATAAAGAGGTCCCTCAGATTACATCATCAAACATATACAAAATATGATCCAAAATCATGAAGTTATGAACCGCAGCATGAGGCAATTGCTATCAAATGCCTAAGGGGTATGCAGAATCTAATTGGCTGGCTTCAAGTCGAGCTATAGAAATTAAATTTCTCCACTATCCCATAAATTTTGTGCAATCTTTCATGTTTTCTCAAAGAACATAAACTCAATCGAGTTAATTTATAAATAGATATAAAATAGGGGGTTCAAGGATTGTCCCAGGCCAACCCAAGACAACACACACTAGTATAAGATTTCAAGATGCCACGGATCATCAGCTCCTTCAGAAGCAGTAATGATAAATAATAAGCAACACAGAATGGCGTTTTTACCTACTTGGGAAGATTCAACATCATACAACTCTCATCCAACATGCACTCTGCCAACACCTGAACTCTGATAGCATCGCTGGTGACAACGGCATTAAAACTTTAACCATGAATCCTACGTTGCTATATAAGATTATTAAGATCTCCTAAAAATTTTTCTCATGCACTCATGAAGGCCATCTGGGGGGGTGACACCATTAGATACCAGAAAAAAATCTGATAGGATAACAATAAATAGAGCTGAGATGAGCTCTGTTGTCTCGATAACTGAACACTAATATTTATTGAAGTATCTCAAACCCCCTATAACCTCTATTGTTACATAGCAAGCCTTTCCATAAGTCATCATATAATAGCCCCACGACATGGAACTGCATAAATTGATTGCATATAGCCAAAGATTGCTCAATTCGACGAAGATACAAATCCCTAACCAGTTAAGAGGTCAACAATGATATGTGGTTAAGTCTTGCTTCCCACATGAAATCCAAGCACCGCTTTAGACACAACTATACAATTATTTGAATCCATCAAAACTTATCAACTTTTTAAACCAACAGACAGTTGGAAAAAATCAAGAAATTGATTTGATATGTTAAATTGACTTGAGCTCGACTCAACCCAGGCACACAAATAAGACACGCATCAATACAAAACTAAACTCATCATGTTAGCAATGTCAAATTACTTGAATCGTCAACCACATGGCAACGACATGCAGGCGGTTTCAATATGTTGGCAAAGTGTCAACTAGGTGATGATACTAAAACAAATTAATCCTCGATCAATTTTCAAGTGTTCGACAAAAATTAAATTATATGTTTGCGGAAAAAGTATGGTTGTAAGAAAACTGAATTAAAAAAGAAAAGGCTAAGCAAGCAAGTTTTATAAAAATAATTTTATAAAATCAAAATTTTTAAGAGAAGTGCCCCTATCTATATGCTTCTGAAGGATAAATGTCATTTACAAATAATTCCTTCATATTACTGCATAAATCATTCTATAAACTTATTACTGATCTACCTATTTATTTTATTCATGAATACATAATCATTAATTTTTAGTTTCCTTAAACATTTTTAAGATAAATAATTGAAGTTATTTATTAAAAACAGATTAGGTCATTTTTTTTCATTTAACCAATTCACTTTATTTCACAGTTACCAAATAAATTAATCTATAGAAATTATATGAAAAACAAACCGAACAACAATTTCACCAAAACAACCATTCATTTAATGATAACACAGCACAAAACCAAGAAACCACAATGCACTGTAGATAGCATCGCCAAAAGATTCTCAAGACAGTTGAATCAAAACATAGCGTGTCTCCAGTTGAAATTGTCTAAAATAATTACAATACGCAGCAAAGCGAGCTACATGCCAACATCAAACTAATTAGACAAAAGTCATATGTATAAATCAAAGCATATGACTAAGGAACCAATGCCACTTTAGCCATTAACCTTAACTGGGCATAATAATCCCAAAATTACGAACATACAGATATATCAAAGGACAATTTAGGCTTTAGCAAGTATTAATATATCCTTTGTTATTTTTAAAAATCACAAACATGACCTTGAGCATACATAAATTGCAAAAAAAAATAAAAGAGCCTATTACATAAGAGAAATGCATAAAAACGCCCCAAGGCATTAAATTTTACAAAATAATAATAATAATAATAATAATATAAATCATGAAACTCCATGACCATGGCGGAGGCAGCATGCAAACTTCAGTTTTTTTCCAACCGAGTTTAAATTGTGTTAAGATATGATAATTTCTTGCTAATTCATAAAAATTGAAAAGATTATGAAATACTGGTGAAATAAATAATAATGAAAATTTATTACAAGTGCGATAATGCATCAACTAAAAAACTAATGTATAAACCCATCAGATGCCCTTCGAGTAGGCCATGGTTGTGAAAGTAAACCATAGAATTCCCTTGTTTTAATCCGTCCACATTCTCCACAAAGCAACTTCCAAATATACTGTATGCTTCAATGCAGCTCAATCTAATATAAAAAAAATTATAAAAATACCCTAAAGAAACCTAATAATTAGGAACCAAACTGCATGAAAAGCCAAAAGAAACAGGAGCACACGATTGACTTATTTAGCTGCCAACTGAACCAAAAAGTCTGGTTGATCCTTCCCCCTGATATGCATGCCGAGGCACTAAGGGTCAACTCGTTTTGCTACTGCTATCAGTATTTCACTTTCAAAAGTGGGTTCAAGAATGCAAACCCTAAATTTATAGCCTAAGCTCTTCACAATGCTCATAATTAACATAACTTAACTTGAAAAAATGGCATGTCTTAACCAGGCTTCTAAAAACAAAAATTTATAACAAATTTATTCCCGCATCACGTCAGCAGAGACGTAAACATGAATTTATGAAAGCATTTGCACAAATTTTAGAAACTGCTAAATGCAAAACACAGTACATATTAAATACATAAACACAGTACTAGAAGTTGAAATTTATTGCATATTTTATCACTCAAAACTTAACTTTTACTTTAACAAACACACAATATTTTTAGTCATTTTCTGACCAGAATCAAATAAGCTCTGAATAAGTAATATGACAATGCATTTTATTCTTCTGGAACGACGACGCTGATCTCACCCTTGTCGAGCATGTCATAAAAGGCTCTAGTTTTTCGCTGCTCATTCCAGTGATGCATCTTCCACAGCCCACCTGCAAAAAGGCCTAGAGTGATCCCAATGCATATCTCCTTGACAACACTGGGGCCCTTAAGAGTAGCATGAGCAATATTGTGCGCAGCCATTCTTTCTCTTCAGTATCAGACAAACACCTATATAATTCAGTGAAATAGAGAAAATTGAGGTAAGAAAACATTTAGAATCAATTTAACATAATTTTTATATAAATTTCACATCGAAAGGTGCAGCTCAAATCTATATGGAAGACAAACTCCTATATCAGCATAACTAGTGGTTACAAGCAGGTCGTTGTTATTTAAAACTACCTTTCTCCATTGCAAATATAAATTTCATCATCAGCCAAAAAACACAGTGTCGTATTTGGTGGCAAACAGCCAACCCCTAAATGAAATGGTAAAGAATTAAAAGACATTTAAAAACTTAAATATACATTACATGGTAGGTAGTTATCAATAAGAATAAGATTATGACAAACAAAATAATTTAAATTTCATTCAAAATTTAAGTTCTATTAAGGTAACATTGAATTCTATTAAATTTGTAAGTTTATACTAAAAATTAAGTGTTCAAGTATATCAATACACTAGTTAATAAATAAAATCAGCAAGTTTATGTTTGAATTTAAGCAAAGTAAATATGTTAAAACACGACAATCTACACAGATATTGTTTAATAGAATGACATATTACACATTTGAATACATAAGTATCAAACCATTTGAATGCATATATTTTATGGAATAAAGTGGTATGTATGTAAATACGAAAGCATTGAATGGTATGTATGTAAACGTCCTAAAAAATTAGTGTTACATAAGTAAACACATAAGAAACGTTGGTATGCATCTAAAACCTCCAAGCATAAAATCATAAAAATTTTGGATAGCAAATAGTTCAACTAAAAAAACTCCAACAAATTTTGTCTCTTCACAAGTATGAAGAAACTTTCTTAATCTCAATTCGAGAAAGGACACGGGTCATTGAGCTTCAAATTTGATCTAAAAACCTTACTAAATTAGAATTATTAGCATCTTAATCAATCAAGAATTATACAAGAAATTCAGCAAACCCAATACTGAAAGGTTCAAGGATATCCTCGCAAAAGTATCTTTGAGACCAATGGATTTAAAAAACAAGGAAAAGAAAATGTGCTAGACATTTGAAACTGTTACAATCAAAGAACATTAAATGGTATTGCCATTTGCTACAATTATATGTATAGATAAAAAATAAACAATCTACCCATTTCTAATCGAGGTTATTGGTTGCTCAAGTGAGCACAAATGGAGCTAATCATTAATCAATTCAGAAGATAGACAAACACACCCACGAGAAGACAGAAAAGAAAATAATGAACACCATCAAGCCCTAGATTAAAACTATGAAGAAGAAGTTGGTTGGATTTCACGAAAATCACTGAGAGATGGAGAGAGTGATGAATTAAAAAATAAAGGAGTCGTAGGAAATAGGATGTGATTTTTACTTATAGCATACACTCCACTCATTAGAAAATATCAAAAAACAAGAAACATTACATGCGAATGGAAGACAAGTTTGAAATTACCTGTTGAAGTTTCTTGCGATTTGATCAAAGGAAGAAGAAAGAGATCCTTGCGGTTTGATCAGATGGAAATAAAAGATCGTGCAAAAATGATGAAAATATTTGCGAATCGATGAAGGAGGAAGAGAGGAGAACTCTTCTGGTGCTTGGAGGAAGAGGGACGACCCAAGATAGAAATCAGAAAATTAAAGAATTAGGGCATTCGGTTGAAATCGTATGGAAATTTATAGCCAATATTTTATTCGGCAAGATTCTGCTATATCCATGGAGGTAGTTGCGATGATGAAGAACTGTTCTCTTTGGCGAAGAAGAAAACTGCGATTTGCAGTTCAAAAGCAAAAAAATAAGAAAATATCCGAACACAACAGACCCGAAAAAGAAGAAGGAAATGTCGAAGTTGTTACCTTCCAAGAGAGATTGCCGAGGAAGAGGGAGGAGCGGCCAGGCCACGGGAGATGCGAAGAAGGGGAGGGAGATGCGAACGAGGGCACAAAGGGCATGGGAGTATATTAATGCGAACGAAACGCTGTCCCGGGTACGCAGAAATCAATTGCCCGTCCGATCGCTAATAGCTTCCATCGATTTTTTTTATTAATTTTTTTTTTAATTTAGGTCCACCAAAATACAAAGATGGAGATCGGATGACCTATGCCGTCCATATGAATTAATTTTTCCCATGTGGGCTCCCTGTTTCACGAAATAAAACAAAACAAACAAAAAAATAAAAAATTTTGGATAAGCCAGAAAAACGCACAAATTATACGATAATTAGACAGTATGATGTTATTTTTAAAATATTGACCGCATTTATAAGCTGCCCCAAATGAACCCTAAGTTGTTGGTGTAAGGTTGGTCGGATGACATGGCGAGTCTCTAGCCGATAAGATGTTATCAGTTCAACAAGTCAAATTTGATGTGTTGTTTATGTGTTACTGAGGTGAAAATATTTATTTTCATCATTATATTTTATTTTGATGAGATCGGACTATTATATTATTACTTATTAGATTTTATCATTTTTTTTATTATTATTTGCTTTTTTTTATAATTTGTACTAAATATTTAAATTTAAATTTCCTAGTAACTCTCTCTTTTAATTATATATATATATATATATATCTGTGTGTGTGTGTTTTATTAAGTTTGAATTTGAAATAAAATATTTTATATTATCTTTTAATTTTATTATTATTGTTATTATATTTGTTTCAATTTTATTTTAACTTTATATTGATTGATTTATGTTTTTTTAATTCAAGTTGATTTAGAATTTGAATTAATAATATTTCAAGTTGATTTTGTTTATTATTTTAATTTTATATTTAAACATTCATTTACATTAATTAAAAATTTCAAAATTTTTAACTATGGATTTAATGAAATTTTTAAAAACTTTTTTTTTTGTATTCAATTTCAAATATATTAAAGAACTTATTTTATTTGTGTTTAGTTCGGATTATATGATTTGATTTTGAAGTTTAGGTTTTTTTTTATCATTTATCTATGTTTGAATTTAAAATTTCTTAATTTCAAATTATGTGTTTAATTCCAAACTTAACCCAATTTTTATTTTGATTAATTAATTTATTTCATTTTATTTTAAATTTAAATTCAATCATAATTTGAGATGAACTCCAAATATATTTGAGTTGGTATTGAACCAAAGGCGTGAACTAAGAGGAAATTTTAAGCCTGATTGAGCGGGTGTCATAAGATTATAAGGCATTTAAGACATAAAGTCAAGTTTCAAAGCTCACTGAGTTATCTAAATGCATGTTATAAAAACCTATTGGAGCACTCAACCTTAATTTTCTTAACTCAATTTTAATTGATTCAACATTAAAATGTTAAGAATTAAAATCAAGTATATTTTGAACCAAAGATAATGAAGATTCAGTTTAGGTTCTACTTTTGGGAGTCGTCCATCCACAAATATGCTATGATAGTCTTTAAGGAATACTTAAGGCTAAGATCCTGGACTCTAAAGGGATATAAAAAAGAAGACCTCACCAAAAGTGAGGTCAACATTCTCCACAAAAAGATTTCATAGATTCACGTAATGCTCTTCTAGAGTCTTTATAACAACCAACATATACAACAGTAAGCAAGAAAATGATGCCATTGCAAAAAATTTTGGCCAATAGAAAAAATTCATTTGCCTGTAAACCATTCACTTTAACAAAGCTTCTGGAAGTAGCCAAATTTTGTTTTTAGTATTTCTCATGGCTGGGAACTTACCTAACCTTCTCATGTATCTATCATTATTGTGCTTAGCCACCAAAGGGTCCAAAGTAGCAAAAAAAAGGTAACATGTGTACTCTGATTAAGCTTTTAAGTCTTATAGAGGCATCAGATTTAGCTATGCCGCTAATGTTCCAAATAAGGAACTTAAACATCGTTGAAAAATGTTTTTTTACCCTTTAATAACTCTAGAGGGAGAATCAATGGACCTAACTTGGTGTTTCATATTGCCTGTGTTCAACAATATCTCTATAATTGGATTAAGAAGTCTAAACTCTCTAGAACACTTAATTATCCCCTTTATTGATTTTTGGTTAGTCCATTCTTATTCAAGTGCAGTTCTAGCACGTGTTAACGCTCTTGATCAGTAGCCATTTCAATTACATCAGTTTCTAATAATATTTCAAGTTGATTTTGTTTATTATTTTAATTTTATATTTAAACATTCATTTACATTAATTAAAAATTTCAAAATTTTTAACTATGGATTTAATGAAATTTTTAAAAACTTTTTTTTTGTATTCAATTCCAAATATATTAAAGAACTTGTTTTATTTGTGTTTAGTTGGGATTATATGATTTGATTTTGAAGTTTAGGTTTTTTTTCATCATTTATCTATGTTTGAATTTAAAATTTCTTAATTTCAAATTATGTGTTTAATTCCAAACTTAACCCAATTTTTATTTTTATTAATTAATTTATTTCATTTTATTTTAAATTTAAATTCAATCATAATTTGAGATGAACTCCAAATATATTTGAGTTGGTATTGAACCAAAGGCATGAACTAAGAGGAAATTTTAAGTCTGATTGAGCGGGTGTCATAAGATTATAAGACACTTAAGACATAAAGTCAAGTTTCAAAGCTCACTGAGTTATCTAAATGCATGTTATAAAAACCTATAGGAGCACTCAACCTTAATTTTTTTAACTCAATTTCAATTGATTCAACATTAAAATGTTAAGAATTAAAATCAAGTATATTTTGAACCAAAGATAATGAAGATTCAGTTTAGGTTCTACTTTTGGGAGTCGTCCATCCACAAATATGCTATGATAGTCTTTAAGGAATACTTAAGGCTAAGATCCTGGACTCTAAAGGGATATAAAAAAGAAGAAGACCCCACCAAAAGTGAGGTCAACATTCTCCACAAAAAGATTTCATAGATTCACATAATGCTCTTCTAGAGTCTTTATAACAACCAACATATACAACAGTAAGCAAGAAAATGATGCCATTGCAAAAAATTTTGGCCAATAGAAAAAATTCATTTGCCTGTAAACCATTCACTTTAACAAAGCTTCTGGAAGTAGCCAAATTTTGTTTTTAGTATTTCTCATGGCTGGGAACTTACCTAACCTTCTCATGTATCTATCATTATTGTGCTTAGCCACCAAAGGGTCCAAAGTAGCAAAAAAAAGGTAACATGTGTACTCTGATTAAGTTCTTAAGTCTTATAGAGGCATCAGATTTAGCTATGCCGCTAATGTTCCAAATAAGGAACTTAAACATCGTTGAAAAATGTTTTTTTACCCTTTAATAACTCTAGAGGGAGAATCAGTGGACCTGACTTGGTGTTTGATATTGCATGTGTTCAACAATATCTCTATAATTGGACTAAGAAGTCTAAACTCTCTAGAACACTTAATTATCCCCTTTATTGATTTTTGGTTAGTCCATTCTTATTCAAGTGCAGTTCTAGCACGTGTTAACACTCATGATCAGTAGCCCTTTCAATTACATCAGTTTCTAATAATATTTCAAGTTGATTTTGTTTATTATTTTAATTTTATATTTAAACATTCATTTACATTAATTAAAAATTTCAAAATTTTTAACTATGGATTTAATGAAATTTTTAAAAACTTTTTTTTTGTATTCAATTCCAAATATATTAAAGAACTTGTTTTATTTGTGTTTAGTTGGGATTATATGATTTGATTTTGAAGTTTAGGTTTTTTTTCATCATTTATCTATGTTTGAATTTAAAATTTCTTAATTTCAAATTATGTGTTTAATTCCAAACTTAACCCAATTTTTATTTTTATTAATTAATTTATTTCATTTTATTTTAAATTTAAATTCAATCATAATTTGAGATGAACTCCAAATATATTTGAGTTGGTATTGAACCAAAGGCATGAACTAAGAGGAAATTTTAAGTCTGATTGAGCGGGTGTCATAAGATTATAAGACACTTAAGACATAAAGTCAAGTTTCAAAGCTCACTGAGTTATCTAAATGCATGTTATAAAAACCTATTGGAGCACTCAACCTTAATTTTCTTAACTCAATTTTAATTGATTCAACATTAAAATGTTAAGAATTAAAATCAAGTATATTTTGAACCAAAGATAATGAAGATTCAGTTTAGGTTCTACTTTTGGGAGTCGTCCATCCACAAATATGCTATGATAGTCTTTAAGGAATACTTAAGGCTAAGATCCTGGACTCTAAAGGGATATAAAAAAGAAGAAGACCCCACCAAAAGTGAGGTCAACATTCTCCACAAAAAGATTTCATAGATTCACATAATGCTCTTCTAGAGTCTTTATAACAACCAACATATACAACAATAAGCAAGAAAATGATACCATTGCAACAAATTTTGGCCAATAGAAAAAATTCATTTGCCTGTAAAACATTCACTTTAACAAAGCTTCTGCAAGTAGCCAAATTTTGTTGTTAGTATTTCTCATGGCTTGGAACTTACCTAACCTTCTCATGTATCTATCATTATTGTGCTTAGCCACCAAAGGGTCCAAAGTAGCAAAAAAAAGGTAACATGTGTACTCTGATTAAGTTTTTAAGTCTTAAAAAGGCATCAGATTTAGCTATGCCGCTAATGTTCCAAATAAGGAACTTAAACATCATTAAAAAATGTTTTTTTACCCTTTAATAATTCTAGAGGGAGAATCAGTGGACCTAACTTGGTGTTTCATATTGCCTGTGCTCAACAATATCTCTATAATTTGATTAAGAAGTCTAAACTCTCTAGAACACTTAATTATCCCCTTTATTGATTTTTGGTTAGTCCATTCTTATTCAAGTGCAGTTCTAGCACGTGTTAACGCTCATGATCAGTAGCCCTTTCAATTACATCAGTTTCTAAATAGATTCTTCCTCTTCGGTAGAGTCTTCACAGTAAGGTTGGTCAAGTTCAGTTTCACCAACTCCTTCTCATAATCTAAATAAAGGGCCATAAATATCAGAGTAACCACCAAGTGCTCAAGAAGTATCCTTCCCTTCATCTTCAAAATGTAGAGAGGTGCATGATGCTTAGCTGTTCTAAAATTCAAAGTTGTCAGAATATATTTCCTAAGC